TTTTTAAATGGTTGTAACTTAAAATATTTGTGCATAAAATTTTGTTCCATTGAATGATTAAATTGGTGGAGCTTACAAAATATCCGCATTAATCATTGAGGCATGGCTACTGAAATGGTTAAGATGCCTATGGATGGCGCTGAGGATTTTCTTAATAAGGTGAAGGATAATTTGGACGATGACTTGGTTAGTATTTTTTTGGGTAATGTTTCGCAGAGCGAGGAAGATAAACAGCTTCGTGATGAGTTGTATATGCTTTTACAACGTTTAGAAGAACCCAATGTAAATCTGTACGAAACTGCGTTGGAGAGTCTGAAGAACTTAATAAAATCTTCTACAACTTCTATGACGTCCGTTCCGAAGCCTTTAAAGTTTCTTCGTCCGCAATATGCTAGGATTAAGAATATTTATGAAACTATTCAAGACCCCAAAATTAAGGTAATATCAATATTGTGCCGAGATATCGTGTAGGCTCTCTGTGCTGAGGTAGTTTCTGTGGTTGGTATGATAACGTATGATAATCCAATCTATAAAACTGATACTTTGAAGTACCGATTACTCAGTAAAAAAGATGATATCGGCGTTTGGGGTCATGAATATGTTCGTCTTCTCACCAAACAAATAGTAGAGGTCTGGGACGAATCCGATGCATTTGGTCAGAATGAGACGGCTCTTGATGCAAACCTGAAGCAAAAGGAATACTTGGAGCTTGTAGGCAAGATAATTCCTTACTTAATGGAACATAATGCTGAGTCTGAAGCCATTGATCTTTGCATGGAGATCGAAAATCTGGACTTTTTGGAAAATTTTACCACTGAATTGAATTTTCAACGTGTGTGTCTTTATCTTATAAGCTGTACTGCTTACATTCCTGATCCTGACAATGTTAAGGTACGAGTTCCAAGTTTGGATTGACGTGTAGGTTCTTCGTTGTGCCGAGAACATCTATAGAAAGTATAAGGATCTTGGCAATGCTTTGCGTTATGCCTTGCGTCTAAATGATGAGTCTTTGGCTCGGTCGATATTTAACGAAGCTGCTTCTCTTCCAACGTCGAGATATGGTGCATCCGGAACTGATGTACGTAGACAGTTGGCCTATTTGCTTGGAAAGCATCAATTTATCGTACCTTATGATGAGGTTATAGCTGAAGAGGATGAAGACTTGGCAGAAATGCTTGGGAATACCCGTTTATCTGAACACTTTTTATCTCTCGCTAGGGAGTTGGACATAATGGATCCTAAGGTATGTTGGAGGGGATTTTTTATCTTTATAAACAAACGCTGGTTGCCTGCCATTTTGCGAGTTTCATTTTCACATTATTTTAATAGCTGCCTGAAGATGTTTATAAGCAACATTTGGAACCTACCCGCTTGACTATGTCTTCGATGCTTGACACTATGCGCACTAATACAGCTGCTTCTTATGTTAATGGCTTGATCAATTGTGGGTTCGGAAAGGAAAAATTGATACAGGATGAAGCAAAAGATGGGTCATGGCTGTCCAGACAAAAAGATCTTGGTAATTTAACTTTGTTTTAGTACTTTGGCCGACTTTGGCTACAATCAGTGATGTTAGTTGTTAACATTTATTTCCTACGTACAGGAAAAATGAGTGCTGTAGCCTCGTTGGGGTGGGTTATGCTATGGGACGTGGACAGTGGTTTATCCCAAATCGACAAATATCTTTATGCTGTGGATGACCACACCCAAGCGGGTGCACTTCTTGGTTGTGGTGTGGTGAACTGTGGCGTGAAGAACGAATGCGATCCAGCCCTCGCCCTTCTTTCCTCTTATGTGGAACATCAGACTGATGTCTTGTCCCGCGCTGCCATTATCGGGTTAGGAGTCGCCTATGCAGGTTCAAACAAAGTGGAAGCCATTAATCACTTGGTTCCGGCCATCCTCGATTCTTCTTCTGGTCGTCTTCAACACGCATGTTTGGCTTCACTTTCTGCTGGCATGATTGCTGTTGGTTCCATGAATGAGGATGTTACGTCCACTATTATCCAAACCATGTTGGAACGCCCAGCCGCTCATTGGAATAACACCTTCAGTAAATTTATGGCCTTGGGTCTGGCGCTTACTTGCTTGGGTCGACAGGATGAGGCTGAAGTTATTTTAGCTTCACTGGAAGCTGTCACTGAACCGATGAAATCTATGGCTCACATGATGTGCGATGTTTGTGCTTATGCATGTATGTGATGCTCTGTACGTAAATATCTTGTGCATATTAGGCTATGAGAGCAGTGTGAAGAAAATGCGTAATCTTATTTTAGTAATTGTAATTATTTTTAGCAAGTACATATACGGCGTATGTAATGTGAGGTTATGGATTCACTCATGCCTAGTTGCAACTTTTTTAGGTAGTGGGAACGTTCTAAAAATTCAAAAACTGCTCCACATTCTCTCGGAGAAGTATGAAGAGAAAGCGGACAAAGCGGATAAGGTCAAATCTACTTCTGCAGGTGCGGAAAAGTCGAAGTCGAGAGACCACCATCATCATAAAAAGGATTCGCGTCGGACCACAGGTAATGCCGGCAATCGTCGGACGCGGCGTCACGCCAATTCCACTGGTACCAAGCCATCTACTGAGAGTAATCAGGTGACAACAGAGGAACCAATGCAAGTGGATGAGCAAGCAGCTTCGTCGAATGATGAAGTGAATATTTCCACCTCTAATCAGGGTTTTGACTATCATGCTCACCAAGGTCTCGCGGTTCTCGGTGTTGCCGTGATTGCCATGGGTGAAGAAGTTGGTCTGGAAATGGCGTTCCGTATGTTTGGACATTTGGTGCGTTTATTGGTGCCGTCGGGCCCTGTTTTTACAATGTATCAATCTCTGGTCACGCACTTGTCATCCTGGCAAGCCTATTTAATTACGAGTACTTGATACTGTCTGGAATACACTGGGTTAACACTTTCAAAAACAAGTGCAGCTGCTTTTCGGTTCCACTGTTACTTATTTTTGGTCTATGTAATTTATTTCAGCTTCGCTTTGGTGAGACGCCAATCAAAAGGATAGTACCTTTGGCGTTGGCTCTCTGTTACATTTCGAATCCTCAACTCAAAGTTTTGGATACGCTGAGCAAGTTCAGCCACGATTCTGACCCGGAATTATGCTATAATTCTATTTTGGCGATGGGTATTGTCGGTGCTGGTATGTACGATTTTCCGGAAGGAATGGATCATACTTTCAAGATGCTTAAATTCTTACTGCTGCAGGTCATTTAAGTAGTTAGGTAGCCGTTTGCAGTATTTATACTTTTGCAATTTGGAGATGTATTCAATTTCACCATTAGTTTTTCATTTTGTCGAGGTACCAACAGTGCGCGTTTGGCTGCAATGCTTCGCCAATTAGCTGGTTATCACTGTCGTGATCCGTATAATCTCTTTTTGGTACGTCTTGCTCAGGGGCTAACACATTTGGGGAAGGGCACTCTCACTCTCTCCCCTTGGCACTCTGATCATGCTCTCTTCCGTCCAGTCAGCTTGGCAGGACTCCTTACCTTGCTTGTCTCCTGCCTGGAGATGCGAATGACCTTTATGGGTCGCAGCGATTACCTCATATTTTACCTGACACCGGCTATTCAGCCTCGTTTGTTGATGACTTTTGATAAGAACTTGAAGCCCCTTGCAGTAACCGTTCGTGTCGGCCAAGCAGTGGACGTTGTGGGTCAGGCTGGACGCCCAAAAACCATAACCGGTTTCCAGACGCACACGACGCCTGTCCTGCTCGCCCACGGTGAGCGCGCAGAGTTAGCAACTGATGAATATGTGCCTGTGACGAACTTGCCGCTCGAAGGCTTTGTCATTCTAACGAAGAATCCTTCCTATGAGAAGCCATCGATGTAATAGTCTGGTGGGGACGCTGTCGACCCAGCCCATTATCATCTCTCCACATCGCACTTTATGTGCCTCCCCTTTTATTATCTCGTGTTCTATAGTAGAATAATAATTTTCGCCAGTAAATCTACGATTATACTGGAGCTGAGAGACGCATTAAATCCTTACGGCATGAGCTGTTGGTGCTGTAAATGGCTAGTTTTGTTCAGAGGGATGGAGTGATCTGGTGTACACCAATTGGGAGGCAGAAGTGACGATCTGGGTGCGCTTGGTCGATGTGAGGAGTAATAGCGCACAGAGGTCGGCGGGTTGGCTCCGTCTAAGTTTGCTGTGGTGTAGTGCCCAAGACCTCCAATAGGTGGGCGAAGGCAGTGAGTGAGGGTGAATACATGGGATTCAAAGGGGTCAAAGCAAGTAGGTCTGAGCAAGGCTTGGGGGCGAGCTCGCATGTGCAGGAGCTGGACAAACCCTAAAGTGATCGCCAAATGTCAAATATTCACCTAAACAAAGCATGTGAATGGGTCTATTGTTCCGTACATGGTAGCATGGATCCTAGGTCATCGTTCAGAACGTGTGTTGGGCTTTAATAGAACAAGTAAGGCTCCTACAAATAGCAAATAGTGCCAATATCTCCAGCAGCTGGTTATAATCAATACCCTTTGTCCCTAAGTATATTATTATCCTCATTACTATTTATTGTGCCAAGGTTACGAGCAATGGTGAAAGTCAACAGTGCTTGTGGGTCCTTTGACTAAGATAAAATCACCTTGACCAAAAAAACACTCCTAAAACTTAGGCTCTGCCTTCAATTTTTAATTCCAAATTGAGGTTTTATCAATGTATAGCTCATAACAATGCTACTCAGCTTCGTTTGTTAATGGAACTGTCATCAAGCGCCTGCGTTCTTTAAACAGTCGTAACGCTTTTGTTGCTCGCGTTCACTCTCGTTTGATGTTTTCGTCCACGAGGTTCTAGTTGTTTCGGAAATGAAATATATTGATAAGGTTCAAAATCAGAAACTGAATAGGACCTATGGAAAGTGTGACATTTGTGAAATCGTTTACAGTAGCGAAATGGTAATTTCTCTTCGCACATCAGCTGGAATGTTTGCGATTTTAGGTCTCCATACAGCACATGCTGAGTCTAAAACACCATAAACGCTTTGAAGCCGTACAGTGTAGCCTGGGGAATCCAGTGTAATACTCTGTCATTCTTCATGATCTTAGTTCACACTTCTGTCCTGTTTGTGGTATAGGCGGGATGCGTGATATCAACGAATGGTCGGATCACGTCTGTTCAATCCTACATTCATCGAATTTCCGCCAATACATGGAATTGTACAATGCTCAGTACGGTTTCCTCATCATTTTTGTTTATTTTACCTTGTATCTCTCAGAAAGGCGACACCAAGGCAGCAAGTTATTGACAAAACTGTGCATGCGGGGTCGGTTGATGAGTCGAATATAGAAGGTATTTTATCTGCCACACCTATCGGGAGTTTATTGTCCAATGCTACGAAGTTTGCCTCTCGTAAATTTCCGACGTTTTGTCTTGTAGAAAGCTCCGTGTCTTTTTTAACACACAAGCCACAATCAAGATTGGTTGATTGGAATTGGGCACCATCAATTGGCAATACGATTTCTGGGGATATAGGTATGTAATAATCCGTGCTTTGATGGAATCGGAAAATTAGTCCACGCCCCGATTTCCGAAGTCATTCGTTTGTACCTATCCTCCATATTCACTAGTCCATTTTGCTGTTGCTGTGTTGTTGCAGCCAAAAAACTTGAAACTTCGCTACCTCATCATTCTAGTGAAGATGGACAATGCGCCAACAGAATCAGTCGAGAAACAAAGGTATGGAGGTCGTATTGTTTAACAGGTGATCTCTATTTCATCGTATTTCTCTACCAAAGCAGTACAGTGCGTCCGACGATTCGTGTTTTAAAAATATCTACCAAAATACTATTGTTAATGTGATTATAAGATTCTTGCACGTAGCGAATGCGGAAAAACCAGACAGCTATTCGAAGGTCTTTCTTTGTGAAATTGAATGGATGGGATGTTTAAAGCCGTGTATCAATGTCTATTTTGGCTGGCCTGTGTTCTTATAGTACATGGAATACATTGACAAATATTTTATTTTTTTCCTTATTTTACAGCTCTTTTTGCCTGAACATAGTCGTCCCCGACGCTATCCAGAATCCCATTCATCTCGACATGAACCGCCTAGTGTTCACGGAGGTCGTTCTTCCTGCCAAAAAATGAACCGCTATGATCACAAAAATTGTGACCACTATCGTCAAAGCTGTCTTAATGGAAAACCTCGACCTTATCGCATTGGTAGATCCATTATTTCTCAATTCCACTCCCTTTCGACACGATCATGTCTGTGCAACGGTGAACGATCGAAAATGTCTTTGAGTTCTGGCAAGGGTAACTCTTCAACATCTGGATCTGGATATGCTAGCCAAGGGGGAACGGCAATGATGAAGCCTCAGGTATTGGAAAAAGCATTGATTCACCGGTCGCCAGGGTCTCCAAAGCCGGTGCTGCACGATTTCATACAGCAAGAATCAGTGCAACAAGGTATATTGACACAAGAACTTTCATCAGGGCATTCGGAGTCGGTGATGTTCGATACGCCCACGAGATCTGCCCTCCCAAGCTTGCCTCCTTCAAGCGTTGCCGAGAAAACTCACGAAGTTGGGAAACTCTCCGAGGCCCTGGATAAGCTAAGGCAGCAACAATGTACCCTCACACGCTACATCCGTCAATTGAAGTATATTCGTCGCCAGGTTAGTTTTATACGTATTTCGACGCCTTTTATTTGCACGTAATAAGAAATAGGTAGTAGGTCTGTTCATACTTTTTCTTGAACAAAATGCAGTTCACTTACTGTTTGGTCCAGCTTTTGTTCTACCATCCACTTCGGTTTTCACTGTATTACGTAATAAAAATAAGATGTTCTATTGCTAGTAGGATTTACTTCGACTTAGTCAATATGGTGTGGTTCTCATTACAACTACATATTCTTTGCGTTTGTCAACCTCTTTTTCATTTGACTTATTGCAGAAAGGTGAAGAGAGGAGGCTCCTCAGGAAACGTCGCTCGACCCTTCTTCGAGGTGATTTTCTTGTCCCTATCGCCTAGCTCTTTTATATCGGGCTTAATTTCTATTCTCTGGTTCTTTCATTAAGATCAACTTTATTGATCGTTCATAATTGTTTTCGCCTATCTGTTCTTCTTTCACTGAACTTCATTCAACTTGTGATCGTGGGCAGGACCTCATGCACGATCTCTGATTGGATCAGACTGTTTTTCAATTTGTAGCTGAAGCCTACTTGACGGTAGACGCTTTGGTTTTTTTAGAAATGAACCTCTCTGACTCCCAAGCTGAAACCAGTTCCAGTGATGACTTTATTGACGACACCGCAGACGGATTAGGTACGGTCGAAACTGGGGTGGAGAGCTATAACGCCGAGGAATTCATCGGCAGTGTCGGCTCTAACGTTGCCTCCTCTGCTGCTGTAGTCATTGGTGAGACGTGCGATCAGAGTGGGTCGTCTACTACGGAGATGTTTCTTGTTAAAGATACTTCGAATGCGCCTGTGAAGGCGGTTCTCTCTTCGTCCCGACTGCCAGGTGTTTATTGCTTTTTGTAGTAGAGCACTCTAACTTAGAACGAAATTAGCACTTTTAACACCCTTATGCTATCTAAAAGGGCTAGAGAACATCGTAGCCAGTCACATCAAACTCACTTTTAGAAGTTTGCTTGTTGCACAGGGTTAGAAATATTCATGACTATTTCACTGCATCTGTATTGATTTCGTTTTGAGTTCGGGTATTTGGCCCAGTGTTCTGTGGATGACCAGACGTATTAGTTATTTCTATGTCTGAGAAAGTTATTTCACCTTCCGACTTTTGTTTATGCGTTCTCAGCTCACTCTGGGAAGCTTCCTAAAGATAATTCCACGGCTCTGAGAGACGGTCGACGATCCCGACGCAAAAGTGTGTTTAAACATTCTACTAGTGTATCTGAATGTTTTCGCATGCTCTAGTCAATTTTCTGATTGCTTGAAAACTTTTTATGGAAGTTAGACGCTCATAATAGCTGCTTACTTCAGGTCCAAGCTGCTTTATCAACCCCTCTTTTAGAACCCTATTAAGGTGTACTGATGCTATATTTGGTCATAGCTTTTTGGCTATTAAAGTGCTGGTCTTAACACATATGATTTTTGTGTCTTTGATTCTTGTACTTTGTTGATTGATTTAATAAATTAACTTCAATTTATTAATAAAGCGCCTTGCTTAACACATGAGGTGATTGAGTTTGCTGGTCATTTTAGATCCAAGGAAGGCGATCTCTGGTAGGCGTTCATCCAGAAGTGAGTCATTTGTGTATAGCATTACAGTTTGAGGGCATAAAAGCAAAATTCTCTTCCAAGCACTGCAACTTGTTTGTCTAACCATAGCCGCTGATATGAACCTCGTCCCGAATGCATTATATGCACTTGTGCTGCAGGTTGAATTGTCGTACAAATGAAGGAGCAAATTTAGGCTAGGCAGCAACCTTTTTGTCTCTAGTGATACCTCCAGATATGATATTAAGGGATATACTATTACACGTTCGAAACTTCCATTTTGGCCCTGGCATCGGTGTTCATAACTGCAGTAAACCCAACAATTCCCCCAATTCTCGATTTCCCAATTTCGGTAAGCTTTCAGCGGCTAAATCGTACCTATAGCAGGGATGATTTCTTCAGCACTTCATAGCAATAGCACAATCTTTTGAGCACTTTTATTCAACTACTGACTATTTGAATGCTTTCACGAGGAAACTTGTACAAACTCTGAAGTTGGTTGTAGGGACTTTTAACGGAAGTGCATGTTGCTGCTTTTAATTTTTATTCAGGTTGTGAATAGGATATCGCATTAATTTATATCAGCACCAATGCAGGCGTTTTAAATACATCTGACGAACTTTGTTTAAAAGTTGCCTCAAAGCGTCGAGCTGGGACTTCGGCCTCTTCCAGCGTATCAAAGGGAGGAGAACTGACACCAAGTCTCCCAAGGAAGGAAGTAGGATCAGATGAGTCCCAGCAATCTTGTACGAGAAAGGCAGCAGAAGCCGAATCAGTAAGTGTTATAGAGCCCAAAGTAGATCCGGTACGTCTTCGCTGGGTGCGCCAGTTACTAAATCATCCTCAGAGTCGGACATACACTTTTGCTGAGCTCGACAAACTTGTCATCGACCTTGTTAATAATTCCTCCTCAAGTAAGCTTCGGTCTCATGTAGCACTAGTTGATTGCTTCTCCCTTCCGTTATTTGCGCTCTTTTTTGTTCTTTTAGAATCCCCGAAATAAATCTCATACCATTTTTATTTCATTTACAGTTTAAGTTGCATTTATCCTTTCTAATACACTATGCGCACAAGCACTTTAGGTTGATGCTAATATAGACCTAAATGTTGGCCGATTTTCCACCGGTCGATGTAGTACGTCGGAGACGCTTGAGTTTTAACAATATGACGCTGACCGATTGACTTCGGTTTATTATCAAGTGGTGTGTGAGACAGTGATTCATGTGTGCTTGTAACCCACACCCGCCAGCTTACCTTTAAGGAGCTGCCACTTTGGTCCTGGATTTGTGGATTGATGAGTGGGATTGAAGGAGATGAGTTCTAGTGTTCGGATACAGCTCTTCTGCTCAGTTATTCAAACTGTTAAAAGGCACCGCTCAGATGATACATGAGAACATCTATGCTTTCAGAGCAACTAGGTACTACTTATGTGCGATAATTTTGTGCAAAATATTCCAGTTCTCCCATTGCAACAGTACGTTTAACACCATGAATTAAAGTCAACTCTTAGTGAATGTCCACTTCTGCCACTGCAGTCTTAAAGCACTCCTGACAAGAAGTGAAGATTGTACTATCTAGGAACTTCTCACTAGGTGGAAAAAGGCATCCGGTTGGACTGGATGCATGTATTCTTGGAAGAGAGGGCATTGGACAAGACTAATCGCAAAGTAGCCGCCGGACAATTAGGTGGTCGCATTAGGTATTGCCTTGCCCCCTCCCCCTTCCTTGGGGCGATGCCCTCGGCGTTCTCGTTGGTACACCTCCCACGCCAGCCATCGCTATGCATATCTGGTGCCACAAGGAAGCACCCACGAGCCAGCCGCGCCATTCATCAGGTACGATGCTACGGAGGGGTTGCACTTGACCTTCTCAACAACTTCAACAGGATTTGGAGTTGCGTTCGGTGCGACACAGGAATTCATAGGGAGGAATTCTGTTGTTTCCAGGGCTAAACGA